CCTATCAGCAAATTATTGGTGCTGCGTAATGCTTAAACAATCTCTGAACCAATACCTTCGTACCTGCATGAGATACACGCATGCGTTCGTATATTAAGCCCCAGCTCTTTCACCTCCATCAGCCGATGTCGAATTCCCCTTCGCACAAGTAGACCAAACAGAATGCATTGAAAGCAAAACTGTGGCCTTGGCTACGTTTCATAAGTATCTGCTGTCGATGTCTGCCTATCGCGCGTGGAAGGCGGCCGTGGCAGACAGGGAAGGTGTGTGGAATGGGAGTGGTACAATATTTATTTGTTTTATTGTTTAGAGTTATTGGTTTGAAAGTACCTCATGTGCGTACAATCTTGAAAGCTAGAATGTAGCGTTTGGTTACTGTAGGTGTGATGCTCAACATTCACGAATGGGTGGTCGCATCTATTGACAGTGCATACGACCTGACGCATTCGAATGTGGACTGTTGAAAGGGTAGGGCTTTCAAAGTGATCTACAATTAAAACGACAACCCTATACCCTAAACTATAAAATATGTAAACCCTATACCCTAAACTATAAAATATATAAACCCTATACCCTAAACTATAAAATATGTAAACCCTATACCCTAAACTATAAAATATGTAAACCCTATACCCTAAACTATAAAATTTATAAACCCTATACCCTAAACTATTAAATATGTAAACCCTATACTCTAAACTATAAAATATGTAAACCCTATACCCTAAACTATAAAATATGTAAACACTATACCTAAACTATAAAATATGTAAACCCTATACCCTAAACTATAAAATATGTAAACCCTATACCCTAAACTATAAAATATGTAAACCCTATACCCTAAACTATAAAATATGTAAACCCTTGGGGTAGCGCGTTCACAGTGATCTGCGATTAAAACGCCAATCGCACCAGCGGAGAGACCATAACATACATCGATGGTGTGGTGAATAGTGTGCATGCGTAGTCTCTCAGCATGTCCTTATACTGTTACCAGACCATAACATACATTGATAATGTAGTGAATAGTATGCATGCGTAGTCTCTCAACGTGCCCTTATACTGTCGTCCCCTGTCGACGGACTTCAACGGATTCACTTGCACATGAATGAATACATTACTTATGATTGGCAAGGCGCTTCATGCATAAGTCGTACACACCATTAATCTCGATAACCAATACATTATCAGCGGAGGCGGATATCCTAGAGACCTTCATGCAAGCACTGCGGGACAGTCTCGGCCCGAACATCGATACGGTGGAGGTGAAAACCAGGTTTTTCCTTATTCTAATGCGGCGGCCATGGTAATCGACTACGTCAATTTGCGTATCGAAGTTTCCTATTCCCATGGGCTGTCCCAGCTGCGTACACACAGGGAGAAGCAGTACTCATTTAGGTTTAAAACGGACACACATAGCGTCTCTGTACAAACAAGGAGCCAAGAACACCCACGAGACATAACCTTAACGCAGTGTTTTTGAGATGCTACTTTGTCGTGCGTGATCCTCTACTGTAATATACAAATAGGGTTGCAATCGAAGGCTTATCATCAGCTCTATAACTAGAGAGAGATAGAGAGATAGCTTGCATCTACACTCGCATCACCTGTCTCCGCACATACAGTCACGGTGCTCGTCAAACTTTAACTTATACCTGGGATCACAAGGAGAGTAACAAACACCATCACCATCATTGAAATGATCTCCCACATGCACATGAAGGGCTACTACGAATCATACTGGATCCCGCTTTCTCGAGCCGAACATCAAAGTGTTGGAGAAGTAGAAGGAGAAGGGTGAGGAGAAGGCTATCGTGGACGGTTCAATATACCTCACTGCAGAGCACACAGTCTGACCAGAAGAAAAAAACCGTTCCTTCCATCTACGCGTATAGAAACGTCTCAAGTAGCACTGACATACACCTTCATTCACATGACCACCCACGTGCACATGATGAGCTACAAACACCTACGCCCATTGACTGTGACCATATCGCGGTGGAGAGATACTGAGAACGGACTACAACTCAGTGATGGAACAGCTTCATACGCCTATAGACCAATGCCATCGCCAATGCAGCGTATTAAGAGTGAGTGAATTGGAGAATTAAATAGAAACAATGCTACTGTATTGGTAGGTAGTCCTTGGGTTTTCCATTGGTAGGTAGTCTTGGGTTTTACATTGATACTTAGTCCTTGAGTTTTCCATGGATAGGTAGTCCTTGGGTCTTCCATCGATAGGTAGTCCTTGGGGTTTTCATTGGTAGGTAGTCCTTGGGTTTTACCTTGATACTTAGTCCGTGGGTGTTCCATTGATAGGCAGTCCTTGGGGTTTCTATTGGTAGGTAGTCCTTGAGGTTTCCATTGATCGGGTAGTCCTTGGGTTTTTCACTAGTAGTTAGTCCTTGGGGTTTACATTGGTAGGTAGTCCTTGGATTTCCTTCGGTGTCAGGTTTATATGTAGTATCAGAAGAACGCGGTCTGTCACCACTGGAGCGTATTGGAGCGTATGTACGTCATACTTACTTACTAACTGCATGCAGTCGACTCTTGACGGACCGCTGCCCAAAGCGTGATTTGGCTCACTGGTTGAAGTTCGGTCCTTTCCCTACGTATGGTGTGTAACCTGCTGTAAAAACGCTACACATACTGCTTGACCATAGCCTTGTCTATTATAGGAAATCCATGACTTTAACAAAGTATCTGACGCGAATCTTTCAATTCTATTTAGATTGATGTACTGTTGATGCCTTATGCAGTTTAATAAATTTGTCGATTTGGGGTCCATGTCGCCCATATATTCTAGTTTGGGCTGTCGAACGAGTAAAACATATTCTGGTTTGGGCTGTCGAATACTCTAACGAGGGTTACTAAATTAAGATCAATGTCGCCCATATATTTGGGTTTGGGTGTTTCTGATGAGGGTTACTAAATTAGGATCAATGTCGCCCATATATTTGGGTTTGGGTGTTTCTGATGAGGGTTACTAAATTAGGATCATTGTCAACCATTTATTTTGGTTTGAGGTGTTGAAATCTTTGACGAGGGTTATTGAACTAGGATCTTTGTCAACCATTTATTTTGGTCTCGGGTCTCGAATACTCTAACGTGGGCTTTTAAATAAGGATCATTCTCAACCATTTATTTTAGTTTGGGGTGTTGAATACTCTAACGAGGGTTACTAAATTAGGATCAATGTCGCCCATATATTTGGGTTTCAGGTGTCGAATACTCTGACGAGGGTTATTAAATTAGGATCATTCCCATCCATTTATTTTGGTTTCGGGTGTTGTATACCCTGACGAGGGTTTTTAAATTAGGGCCAGTGTCACCCTGTTTCTGTTTTTTTTCCTTTCAATTTTGGGTGTCGAACACTCTGGCGGTGGTGTCATCTGCCCCAGTGATGATATGCCGTCCGTCTCTGTTTTGGTGAAGTTATAAATATAGTTTAGCGTCACAGATTCGCCTTTATATTTACCATAGCTTTTGCCTATATAAAAGGCTATGTATATATATATACGAAAAAGGAGTTTCAGTAAACCTTAAACCCTGAACCCCAACGTCACTATACTATACACATCATATGCATATGCTATAACCACGCTTATATACACAATCACATACGCTATACTACTCGCATCATATGCACATGCTAAAACCACGCTTACATACACACCCACATATAACGTACTTGCTCAGTGCTATGCACAAAATGCCGTCGTTGTGTCCTGTCCACGTCTTCGTACATTCGCCTGTCCGCGCATCCCACGCTCTTACGGTATGGTCCAGACTGGCTGTGTACACAATGGGCTCTGAGGGATGCCACTGTATCTTCACCACACCCTCCCCATGTGCACACGTGTGTCTGAGCTTGAACGGCGTGGTGTCCCAGATAAGCAGGTTTCCGTCTAGACCTCCACTGGCCATGAAGGGGTGTGTGCGTGAGAAGCGCACACACTCGACGCTCTGGTCGCCATGGGCGTCGTTGAAGGCGTAGAGGACCTTTGTTTGCTTGACGTTGGTGAGGACCACTCCTCCGTTCTCACCGCCTAGTGTTAATGATAAGAACTGTGTGTGTTAATGATGTGTATGCGTGTGTGTGTGTGTGTGAATGAGGTACGTTTATGTTAATGATGTATGTATGTGTGTGTGTAGTAGTGAGGTGCAGGATTTAGGATAGCATGTACTACTGTATCGAGTGGCCGGGAAGAGAATGAAACGATCAGAGGTGTCCCCCAACCCTTTCTCTCGTTCAGTCACTGTTGACGGCAATGCGACGTCTACTGTTTAAAAGGCTATGAAGAGAAACACACAGCAACCGTATAGCGGCGTTGTGGTTTGGAGTAGACTCGTATAGTTCATTTAATAAGGTAAGAATCAATAACCTATTAACGAAGCACGTGGTTGATTAGAATATAAGCCTGCTGTAGTTTACGTATTGTTACGTACCGCTTAAGGGTAATGGCAATACATACCTCCTACGGGTAATGGTATAAGCATACATATACTGTGGTATAGTTAACGTATTAATATATACTCGCATAGAAGTAGAGTAAGAAGATGGGCCTGTGCGACCGGATGGGTGCCCGACGGCGAAAATGCTGCGTCAGCTGCTATATGTACATGCCTGTGGTACTTGAGGTCTATCAGCGACCATTCCCATGAAGGCTACTGAGGGGACATAGGGAAACATAGTGAAGTATAATATAAAACATACAGTAGTATAATATAAAACATACAGTAGTACAACATAAAAATAACCAATAGCATATCATACCTGCTGCCATTGTAGAGCTATCTGGGCTCAGATCGCATGTATTGACTGGACACTCAAACCACTGATTCTGGCCCAGTCCGAATTTGACCTCAGCGGTTCCCTTTCTTGGGTCCCATAGGATCATTGAACCGTCAAACTGTTTGGATGGGGTGCACGGTAGGAGGAACGGAGAGGTGATGAATTGAGTATAGGCTAGCCTGAAATATCTCAACAACGGCCACGGGACTGGAAAATGGACTTGAGGTTTATATAACACCGAGAATATCCGCGCCAGGCATTGATATATTCATTCACTACAAGTACGTTCCTAGCAACACCTAACCACCTCCACCTTGTGCGTACACACGCCGGCTTGCAGGTGAAGCCGGAAAATTCGAGTGCAAGCGTACGAAGCAGTGTGTGTGTATGTACAGTAGTGTGTGTGCATGTGTAGTAGTATATATATATATATATATATATATATATATATATATATATAGTATGTGTGTGTGTGTGTGTGTAGTGTGTGTGTGTGTGTGT